GTTTTCACATCCATTTGATGTAGCTCTAAATCAAAATGAGCTACTAATGCCATGATAATTCTAAATGAATCATTCTTAGAAACCGGAGAGAAGGTATTATGATAATCAATGCCTTCTCTTTGAGTAAAACCCTTGGCTAGAAGTCCGGCCTTATATCGTTCAATATTGCCATTTGAGTCTTTCTTGGTCTTATATACCCATTTGTAGCCAACAGCTTTAACTTCCTTAGGCAACTCGACAATTTCCCAGACTTGATTCTTTGCCATAGATTCCAACTCTTCCTTCATGGCATTATACAATAATTAAGTACCATAAAAAGTAATTTGCACCTACCTAGTGTCCTGACATTTTTTAAGAAATGCCATTGCAAATATTCATAAAAAGTTTTTGTAGTGACATTTTTGTTGTAGTGAAGTGACACTTTTTTTAATTGAAATGCCACTAGAGCCTTGTATGTTTGTGGCGCTATGACATTTTTCTAAAAAATGCCACCAAATATTCTTTTTGTGACATTTTTTAAGAACATGCCACTAGTATGGTGTCACTAAAATATGTTTTTGTTGTAGTGTTGTGACACTTGTTCATTGAAATGCCACTAGAGCCTTTTATGTTTGTCGTTTTGTGACATTTTTCAAAAACGTGCCACTAGATATCATTTTTGTGACATTTTCCTAAAAATATGCCACTAGTGTAGTGCCACTAAAGTATGTTTTTGTTGTAGTGACAGCTCAACTTTTTGTCATTGATTTCATCTACTGAACTTTTTGGCATGTTAAGGATTAAGTTTTAGCCATTCATGTCACACATGTATACACAAGAAATACATGCTTTTTTTTTTTCTACAATTATTTGTGTAAGAATTTAATTATTTCCATCAAACTAGTTTTATTTTCGTCAAAAGATACGAGTAAATTGACGTCCTCATCAACATCAAAGGCTAACAATCACCATGAATGAGGGCACAACAACAACAGTGACAGCCACCATTTCCAAAGGGTCCATCATGTCGTAGATGTGCCCCTAGCTAGTTAAGCCTAGCACTTAGAGATTGGATTATGCAATGAATCATGCTCATTATTATTTCCTACTCATTTTTTTGAGAACTTACTTCCTACTCATTAAAAAAGCAAAGCGACCATTTCTTAAATTTATTTTTTTAGTTTTTGAATTCAATCCTTTCTTATGCTACGGCATGAATTTATTAACCTGATGCTAAATGGTTAACAACAATGCTTCCGACCCCCAGTACGGACGACTCCCAATTACCCTCCTAGTGCCACGTGTCGGCCTGGGATTGGCTGGAAGAAAAAAAAAATTTTTTTACCCAATCACGAACGACCCCCAGCACCCCAGCTGGGGTTCTAAGTCATTTTTCAATGGTTAATGATGTATTACTTATAGAAGGTGAAGAATAAGGCCAAGTTTGGCAACTAAAAAATAATCCATCTTTTTATCTTTTTTTTATCACATCACTTCTCTATTTTTCTGCACATCTTTTCGTAAAAAGACAAAAAGTGCACTTATTTAGGTCATTCCAAACAACCCCTAATATTCAAGTATACTTTTCTTTAAGAGTGATGATTCAGAATTCTAAACCTGGGATTCTAAACCCCTCTAATGACGTGAAAAAAAGAAAAAAGAAAAAAAGAAAAAAAAAACAACACAATCATAAACATCACCATCACTGTGAGGCCCACAAAATTACAATTCTATTAAAACTCTTAATTTAGAACTCCCAAATATTTTTATTTCTTTAAATCTCTCAGACTCAAGGGTTATCATTTGCTGAGAAGATTTCTAAATCTAGGAACTCTTAAACCAGCAAGATTACAAAAGAGAAGTCTACATGTACATAAAATACAAACCACAAAATGTACATTTGCGAAAATTCTTTGTGTACGTGTAACCCAGAGATATATCCTCAAAAAGATGTATTAGTGCTCTACATTTGCACTAGCACTTCATGTTAATATGACATTTGCTGGCAAGTTATTTCATTTATGAATCATATAGACATTCAAAAGTGTGTGGTGTGGTGTGGCTTCCAAGCTGGAATACCACTCTCTCAATCTCTACGTCTCACCTGCCTACTCAAAGTGGGGCGGTTTTGGACAGCCTTGTTGGCTTCAACTCGTCCTCTTCATTCCCATATAATCAAATTATTATTATCTTCTTGGTATCTTTTGATTGCGTTAAACTTTTACACTACGTTTGGATCCTGAATTAATCTGTGAAGAAAAATTAAAAGGGAATGATACATTTGTTTTTCATTTTCTTTTCTCTCCCAAAAAATTTCTATTCATATTCAAGATTTAAGACCACAAATTTTTCAGAAACCTAATGATGTCAAGAAGGTGGTTCTTGAAAGATACTTGGTCCATATGCATGGCGCTTTTTTATTTTTTTATTTATCGATTCACGTAAGAGAGAGTTACATACGAAGGCTTCGAATTAAGCTCGTTAACTTGTGCAGATCATTGGTGAAGTGGGTGAAATTAATCAAGTCTTATTTGGCTAGGCCAATGCACCACTCACTCCAGAGGTGGGAGCTAGGCTCGGACTCGGCCTATGGCCAACTGCTTCCGAAGTAAGACAATCTATAGGAGTTCGGCCAATGTACGAGCGTCACTCAAGTGGAGCTAAGGCCTAATGCAAACCTCACTCCAAGTGTGGAGCTAGGTCGGACCTCGGCCCTTGGCCAACACTTGGCTCCGAGTAAGACAATCATAGGAGTTTTCGGCCCAATGTACGGCGTCACTCCAAAAGTGGGCGAGCAACATGGTGGACCTTCTGGATGGACAGAACCACTCGAAGTGGGGTTGAGCAACATAATTGGACTTCTGG